AGTCCGTAGTGATCTTACATAGGATCCTATATATAATTCAGGATCCTATTCTTGCCCAGGATCCTGATCAGGATAGTGATCCTACATAGGATCCTATATATATCCAGGATCCTATTCTTGCCCAGGATCCTGATCAGGATAGTGATCCTACATAGGATCCTATATATAATTCAGGATCCTATTCTTGCCCAGGATCCTGATCAGAATAGTGATCCTCCATAGGATCCTTTATTTATCTAGGATCTTATTGTTGCTCAGGATTCTAATCAGGAAAGTGATCCTACATAGGATCCTATATATCTCTAAGATCCAACTTAGGATCCTATTCAGTATTTGTTATCATTCTAGGATCCTAGTCAGGAAAGTGATCCTACATAGGATCCTATATATCTCTAAGATCCTACTTAGGATCCTATTCAGGACTTGTTATCATTTTAGGATCCTAGTCAGGATTCGGATCCTATACAGGATCCTGCTTAGGATCCTGTTCCTATTCAAGATCCTACAGGATATTACAGGATCCTACAGGATCCTATAGGATCCTACAGGATCCTGGACAGGATTTTCACCAGGGTAGCTAAATTGCAGTGCATTAGTTTGATATCTAAATTAAACATATCCTCTGGCAAAGATTCCTGTGACTTTTAAACAGCAGGCTTCACTAAATGATGGCTGTGAATGGGTAAAAATTAAAATGGCTCTCCAAATTTTATCTAAAGGAAAATCTCAAATTATAACAGATGGTTGTAAGAAGCCTTATGAGGCCTTCTTGGTGGATTCAGACTGTTAAGTCGACAGATGTAATTGATTATCATGATGTTGAATCTTAATAAACTGACCCTTCTTTAGACTGAGCTTGTATGTTGCACCACCCTGAACATCTGTCATGTGATCAATCATGGTCTTGACAACTTGGTCAACCTTGTCAAGCTGATAAAAGCCAAGCACAGGATATCACATTGCAAACATACAATCAGATGCAGATCATTGGAAGTTATTGACAAACAAACCAAATTCAGCTTTAGAGACATCTAGCTATTACCTAGAGGGGTAAAAAAACTTGGTAACTGGCTTTTAATCTAATCTAGGTTAAGATGAGTTAAATCGGGACTCTTGCATCAATCACTCCTGGTTAGTAGAATTTGAGATGTAAGAAAAAATGCTTTGAGTTGATTTGGAGTGCTATGACATTATCTAATGGATACCGTAAGATGTCAATACACGCTGTGTGATATATAAGTTAACATCATGTGTTCAAAGACAGGAAATCATAATTATGTAAATGCCATTACAGGATCAATACGAATGAACTCTGGTGCCTTTTCATCAGGAACAGAGCTGGCCCATTACCTTTACCCTCTTGACACCTGGTTCTCCGTGTATACCTGTGAAAACAAATTAAAGCCAAACACTATCTATAAAAAGTAGAAATTGAGAGTAATTTTATTGTTTTAGTATAAATCCAGAAGTCCTTCAAACTCAACAACAAGACAGGCTCATGTTTTATTGAATAATTAATATATACCCTAAAAAACAAGCTCATTTCACATTTGCCTAATGTTTAGTCAAATGTTGTGGGAGATGCAAAGGCCTAATGATTAGTGCACTAGACTCTAGAGGGAGAGGTCTGGGTTCCAGACCTGGCTGGGTCATGGTGGAGAGATCTGGGTTCTACACCTGACTGGGTCATGGTGGAGAGGTCTGGGTTCCAGATCTGGCTGGTTCAAACTGTTGTGTTCTTGGCAAAAACACCATACTTTCTGTAGAATAAATGATCCTTTAATTCCATTTATTGTGTCTCAATCTGTACAATCTGATTCATATGATCTGGTTTAATTTGCTTGATCCACTTTGAAATAATGATCTGACCCCACGACCTAGTTTAGTTTGGTCATAATCATACGATCTGGTTTGAAAGACTTGTAGACCAGATGGAAACATGACAAAAATAACAAAATGAGATGTCAACAACAAACTAGAGCACATGGTCCATAACATATACAAACTAAATCCAGTACTGCGCTGGTAGGGCAAAAGCTTGATATGACATATTGCAATCAACACTTTCACCAGGCCTCCCTCTAGCCGGGAGTTTAAAGGTTACTGGTAAATTGTCAGGGGAAGCATGATGAAATACTGAGTGTAATCTTGCAATGAACTGGTTTCTCATTATCACTTCATGCTGTGAAAACTAGGATGAGTTCCAGCTGGATGGGCCATTTGGTCTGTGTACATACCTTTTTAAAGTCACCTGCTAGTGCTTTATTTATGGATCTTGACAATATATATATATATATATATAAATCAGAAAATGAAAAAGCCAAAGTCTTACCGAGTCCCAACTCCATCTCATCAATGCCCAACACAAAAGATGGTAAAGATCCGGGGAGACTGCATGGAGCCAAACTAACACCAATGGTACCTGGTAAAGAATATTGATAAGCCATGTGCTTGTGCTTTGATTTAATCTGTACCTACCATTAAAAATTGCTTGTTGCTTTTTCAAGATGGTATGATATCAGGGGAGAGTTAACATTCAGCTCTTGGGAATAAGAGGGTTAAATGCACATTGACTGGTTTAGCTGCCCCAGACAGGAAAACTTTTGGCTCTGTGTCATAATGTACTGACTTATCAGACTAACAGTAGAGTTGCTACATCATGACCTCTAACCAACTATTTTCTGGTCAGATACTCACACTCACTCAAATTTATAAGTACACGATATCATTCACCCACCACAAAAGGCTATGACAAAGTAAAGTTAAATACTAAATACCCATAGCTTGAGCTGTGGCTTTAGCCACTTGTGAGATTTCCTCAAGAGATTTGCCTTCTTCAGCCAATGCACCTGCAATCTACAAATAATAATAATAATAATAATAATAATAATAATTATAATAAACACATTGCCACAATAAGTAAATACAGAATTTCATTTTGCCAATAACCAGCATCCTTGCTTAACTTTGCAAATTGTGGAGGAGAGGGGAGTTTCAAAGAAGTTTATTAGCAACTTGGCCAGGTTATGGGTATGCCTTTACACCCTAACTTCTGTATGCATATTCTCCACACTGTTCCCTATACATACCCTTTACACCCTATCTTCTGTATGCATATTCTCCACACTGTTCCCTATACATACCCTTTACACCCTAACTTCTGTATGCATATTCTCCACACTGTTCCCTATACATTTTCTAAGGTACTGATGAGCATGCACGATTCCTCCATTCACTCTGATGAAGGGGTAATGCTCGAAACCTGTCAGCTTTTTTACTCTAAATGGTGGCCAATTTACAATTTCATCATAGTTGATATACAAAAGTTCATCATTCTCGAACAAAAGTTCATCTTTCAAATCGGCACTCTTAATCCCATGGGTATCAATAAATGCTTTTCATTCTACTAATTTATTCTTATGGATATATCAACAAAGTTGAAATGGTATTACGGTGGCCAATTTACCAAAAAAAATCATTACGGTGGCCAATTTACCAAAAAAAATCATTACGGTGGCCAATTTACCAAAAAAAATCATTACAGTGGCCAATTTACCAAAAAAAAAATCATTACGGTGGCCAATTTACCAAAAAAAAATCATTACGGTGGCCAATTTACCAATAAAAAGCTTTTCATTCCACTAATTTATTCATGTTTTTCTCGTTACCATGCTCCCACCAATAATGTAGCTCCATTAATTTTCTGCCTTTAAAAGCACACACAACTCACAATTCCTCTATTCACTCCGACGAAGGGCTAACGCTCGAAACGTCAGCTTTTGTAATCATTATGGTGGCCAATTTACCAAATATATCCAAATTATTTCGTTACTCCCACCAACGCAGCCCCAAACAGTTTCTTTCGAAACTATCAGCCTTTATCAATTTATTCTTGTTTTTCTTACAATGTTCCCACCAATAGTATAGCTCCACCTTAAGCTTCTGTATTATAAACCCACACACAACCCACAATTCCTCCATTTGCTCTGACAATTAAGGGCCAACGCTTGAAACATCAGCTTTTTACAGTGGCCAATTTAGGATTTCAACTTAGTTGATATAACCAACTTACAAATTGCTGATGAGGAGAGCTTGTTTTTAACAATCATTTCCAAATGTGCAGACTAGCTGACAAGATCTCCTTTTGTTGGTGAAACAGTGGACAAGAAGAGCCACCCAGTGGCATGTCCATTGTTAAATTACTTATTTTATTTACTATTTACTTATTATTTATTTACTTATTTACTCAGGGGTGATATTGTAAGGAGAAATTAGATGCTGATCACTCTTAGGAGTCAAAAGGTGAAAGGGGGGTTATGGAGCTTTTCAATTATCAGATAAAAATGTAATTTGAACAAATCCCCTGATACTCTATTTCAGAGCAAAGCCCAAGGCTGTGCCCTAAGAAAAATTGAAGAGAGCCCAGTGCTCTGAAACTGTGAAATCCAGGGTACCCAGCTTATGCTTTTTTATGAAAAAAGTAAGATTCCTGAGTCACCCAAGAGTAAAAGTAGGAATTTAAGAAGAATTTTAATTAAGAAATTAAGAATTTAATTTGTTCGCCACGGGAATGGCAGGAGAAAGGAACAGAACTGTCATCCCAATTGACGCCTAACCCCTTTTGTACCCACCATCCTGCCCCGGGGAGGACATCCACCACAGTAATCTCCTGCTAGACCACAGCCCTGAAAGCCTTATGCAAAATATCAAAATTTACCTTGCCCCTCACCCTCTACAATAGCATCTTACTGTTTCACAAAAAAGGGTTGGGGTTGAGGGGGGAGAGGAAGGGGTTAAGAGGGGAGGGGGAGGGGTTAAGTTACATGAACCTTAGCAATGTTTTGGCTACAGCCTTATAAGATTACCTTGTGGATCAACACAGTTCCACAAAGCCCCCTCCTTCCTGCTGTCTTGTCCTTACTAGTGAGAGCGCAGTCTTCTCCAACTACCACCATATCGACTTTTATCCCCTCAGCCTTCGCCCTCTCGGCGGCAAATCCGAAATTCAATCTGTCACCAGTGTAATTCTTGACAATTAATAGCGTTCCTCCCTTGTTACCGTGTCCGACAGCTCTTATGGCAGCAAGGATGGATTTCGTTGGTGGAGAAGTGAAAACAGCTCCAGCCACAGCCGCTGTCAACATTCCTTTTCCAACAAATCCCGCATGAGATGGCTCGTGACCGCTTCCACCTCCAGAAATGAGGGTAACCTTCCCTGCCTTTCGGAGTTCGTTTACATCCTCTCGAATAATAACCCGATGATTCTTTAGTAACTTTAGCCCAGGATTGGCTAGAACGATTCCTTCTAAAGCCTCGTCTACCACATCTAAAGGATCATTGATCAGCTTCTTGGAAGTAGTTCGTTTTCCATCAGCTGCCATTTTGCCGAGAGAATCGAGAAAATCCTGGATCGAGTGGATCGTCTAGACAAGTTTGCGTGCCCGCCTGACATAACACTTGTATGACGTCACAGATTCGACGATATGCCAGAATATACCGTAAAGTTTGCGTTTTTCCGGTTCTTTCTTTACATTTCTACCGCGAAAAGTCCACCTTGTCCATCTCAATAATGAAGAAGGCTGCTCGTAAAGGAAGCAGTACATCACAAGTGGATGTTTTTCAGCGATACAACGAAACTCTTCACACTCCAGCCCTTTATTCTCTTACTTTCTTCATCTTTTCCCCGACTCAAATTTCAGTGCGAGAGATACTTTTTTATGGATTCGAATCACAAAGAAAACCGGCAGTGATTGGAACAAATCCTTACTGATTTGTTTCTTGCCTTAAACAAAGAAATGATCACAAGACCTATCTGATACAGAAGGGTTCCGATTACATTTTACTTTTACCAGAATTGAGCCGGATTTTTTTCTTATCATAGGGAAATATCTTAAATAAATATCGGAAACCCCTCAGTCGGACGCAACATTAGTTTAATTAATTTCACAACTTCGAGGGCTTCTTAAAATAAACCATTTAACTTTCTTATCGTAATTTTTTGTGTACGAATTGAAAATTAGTTTAAATCAGACAAAATCAGTGCTGTAGTTGGAAGTTTTTTCGTGTCATTAAAAAATTGTCACGGAAATCTTACGTCCAATGGTCTCCTGCTTGTTCAAATGAAATATTCCTTTACCAAAGGCTGCACAAATCAAAACAAGTCTCATTTACAACCTTATTTATCTTTGTTTGACAAGGGGGAAATATCTGTCAACTGGAGTTTTTACAAGAGTTCACTTACCAGCTCCGGAGAAAGGAAATTTATTTTCTTAAGACTTTCACCCAAAAATTAAAGAAGGTAAGACAAAACCTCTTCTGCGTCAAAGTTTTGTTTTTACTTTTCGTAATTTGTTATGACGAACCCTTAAAAAGGTGACGTTCGTTAATTAATGGCTTTAATAGAACCAAATTGCTCCTTTAGTTAATCACGCATGGGAAAAGAAATTGGGGCGCAGATAAATAGTGCTGGTTTGTGTTGCTTTCTGATAAGACTGGAAAAGGAAGCGTGATTTGCTCTACTTTAACGTTTTAGAGCACAGAGTCAGGTCGATGAATCCATGATAACTTGCAGCCATGATAATTTGTGGGTTCCCTCGTAAATTTTCTTTCAGCAGAAGTGACAAAAATTTGCACCTGAGGGTTACTTGCGCTAAATTTGGATATTAGCCAATTCATAATCTCATAGAACTTAAACCGTGACTTACGTAGCGGAAGTCTGTAAGCCAAATTAAGGCTTTCTGGGTCATGCAAAGACCCGTTTTGCATTTACTGGGCATAAGGGAGGCGAAAGGGCAATCCGTACACGAGTGTAACACTTTTTTTCTCCCGGATGAACGTGGGTGGCAAAAAAATTTGTCAATTTGTCACTTCTTAGGTCGTTGGATCATCACAAGCCATTGCGACAATCAATCTGATGCCCTCAGCTTTGACTGACGCAAAACTCTCACGTTCTCGTTCCAGTTGTGTATGACAAAATGTTTGCTTTGTAAGTACTAACGACAATATCATCTTTTTTATATATTGACTGCCGCCATCGAATGGAGACCGCAACTTCGTCCGCATCGTTCTCCAATACCACCGCTTCTTCGGTTGCCGATTCAATGTCGGTCGCCTCACTGCTGTCAGTGGTCGCTATGGGTTGCACAATGGTGTTTGCAATTTTCGGTAACGTCCTGGTGATTTTGGCTGTGCAACGCAGAAAAAACCTACGAACTACGGCTGCCATTCTTGTAGTGAACCTAGCTTTGGTGGATCTATCGATAACCGTTTCAATCGTGCCGTTTGTTATGACGCTAGCTGTTACGCAAGAATGGGTTTTGCCTTGGGTAATGTGTCGACTAACGGGCTTCATAAATGCTTTCTTAACTGCTGGTCAAATGATGGCCCTGCTTCACATCAGTGTGAACAGATATATTGCTGTGGCCTACCCTCACTCGTATGAAACTCGTTGCAATAAGCGAGGCACTATATGTACTGTGGTGCTAGGATGGTTGTATTCTCTAGTCTGGACTTCGCTTCCGTTTTATGGATGGGGCAAGCTCGGATTCATACAAGGCACTCTATTTTGTAACATACTATGGTCCGCGAATATGGCTTACGCGATCACTGTGCACGTTATGTGTTACTTTATACCTTCTATTCTCAGCGCAGTGTTGTATCTAGGAGTCTACAAACATGTACGATCGCATGGGAAGCGGTTATTTCAGAAAACATTGAGCTTAGAATTGACACAGTATTCAGACAAGAAAAGAACTGAATCTACAATTAGTCGAAGCATCGGAGAGGACAACGCACCCAGAACTGTGTCCTTTGATAATCTTGCTGTATCAACAGAGAACATTATTGACGCTGGATTTACGGATCTTGGCGAACATTCTTCGGCGTCCACTCGAGCGAAACGAAGCAGACGTCGTAAATTAATGGAAGCCCGAGTCACAAAAGTCCTTCTTGCAGTTGTTATGGCGTTCGTCTGTTGTTGGATTCCGCGTGGAATCGCGAACCTATGGGCGATCTTCGAGAGCCGCGAAGCCGTCCCACGCGCGCTTGAGTACAGCTCGACCGTCTTGGTGTTTTTCAATGCGGCAGTGAACCCTGTGTTATACGGCGCTTTGCATCAAGATTTTCAGCGCGCGTTTCGGAGGATAATCTGCTGCGAGTCAAACATGAACAGAAGCCGGGCAGCGATCAACATGAGCAATTCAATTCGGTGACGTCATAGCTGGGGATGTACCGCGCATCAAAGCGATCGCGAGTACTTTTTAATCTACAATCATCGTCTACGTGTGAGCGGAAGGCGTAAACATTTAAAGAAAGGGATTACTAACAAGTGGACAAAGTCGGTTCAGATTAACACAGTGAAAAACCAACCACGTTTCTTTTCTCATTAATAGAAAGTTCAAGCAAATCGTTCAATTTAATTGTTTACTTCTTTCACCCTTCAAAAGACTGATCCAATAAAAAAATTCATTTAAGTTAACCATTTGTCCACACATAAAACCTAATATTTTTACTTAATCTTGCCAACGGCAAACTGGTATAGACAGTGTGCTGGCCGCTCGTTACATGCGAACGGAAGGCAAAGCCTAGTCTCGCCAACGAGTTCTTTGCGGCTCAGTAGGTAGAGCGTGCGACCGCAAAATTAGCCGGTTTGAGGTTGGATTCCTTGCATGTCCATGCGAATTTGAATTTCGAATACGTGATCATGACGCCAAAGAATCCCTGGGATATTAACCCATTCACTCCTTATGATGCAAGCTTTGAAGAATTTGGTATTGGATCAACTAATAATCCCCTAATCGGTGTTTTTCTTTATTCTCATCACTTGCCTGCTTGATATTGTATTGATATTGTAAGGAGAAATTCTGTCTCGGTCACTCATGGGAGCTCCAGATTTTTTTTTTCATCCTCATCTACCATCATTCATAGAAATTGAAAGCTAGTTATCGAGGTTGTTTTGGTAAAATTCTACTTGTCGATCAAAACTCAACAAGTAGGCTGATGGTTTCATGTTATTTGTTCGCAACCACACTTATCAGATTCACTTAATAACCATTGAAGGTCGGCACACACGAGGGGACTAGTCCCACCGACCAGTTTCATGCGACTAGTCCCTTCGTGTGAACTACACATTTCTGTGGTCGCAGGGACCAAAATTTGGTCTCTGCGACTGGTAGCACGAATTCAAACTGGTTTGAATTCGTGCGACCAGTCGCAGGGACTTGTCGCATGAAACAAATGTTTGTCCCTTCGTGTGAACTGTTTGTGCGACCAGTCCCTGCGACTAAACGGTAAATAAGCCAATCACGGGTCAGTATGATGCGTGACTTCCGGTATTTGTAAACATTGCAGTTTCTAATGATGAATTTTCCCTGACTTCTAGATTTCTACAACTGAAGAATAAAAAACTATTTCTAGTTTTGTAAACATATACAGATGTCTTGGAGCCGTTTTGATGGAATTTTTACCCTATTTGACTGTGTCTGTTAAAAATAAAATAAAAGAAACAAAAACGGAACACGTAAAAGCATGAATAATCCGACTGAATAAGTGTAGTTCGTTTGCGCTGATGTTTAATAGTGCTACAATGAAAAGTTACCAAATTTTAATTGTTTTCGTGTAACGCCCCAGACTAAGAAACATCTTTTGCCTCTTAATTTTCCTATGCTCTTGTGTAATTGAGTGCCCTCGTATGAACACCTTAAGGGACTAGTCCCTGCTACCGGTCCCCTCGTGTAAACCCTTCAAAGACTTGTCACCGGGACTAGTCGCACGGACTAGTCGCAGGGACTTGTCCCCTCGTGTGTGCCGACCTTTACACACTTAGGTTACGTGCTCGCCGATAATCGAGGTTGTTTTGGTTTAAATCTAGTCGTCAATCAAAACTCAACAAGTAGGCTAATGGTTTCATGTTATTTGTTCGCAACCACACTTTTAGGATGACGTAATAACCTTTTACACACTTACGTTACGTGCTCGTGATTTTCTCTCGCGTGATAGTTGATGACAGCGCAGCCAAGAATTATAGCTGTCGGTATTTCTTTCAAGCCTAACTCCAGCTTTAAAACTTCCGTTAGATTTTCCAAGAAGCACAAACTTCAATGCAGCTCCTTTAAGACGAGGTTTTGCTGTAATTTATTTCTTTGTCACTCCACTAAACAAAGTACACTACATGCCAAAAAGGAGGCAGAAATCTTAATCTGTAGCGGTCACATTGTTTATAAGGCTTAGAAAAGGTTTTCCAGACTGTTACAAAAATAACTCGTTTTCTAAACTGTCCATTTTATGTTAGTAATTGTCTCCTAGATTGAAAAAAAAAACTCTGCTTCAAATTGGATTCCATGTATGAAATTAGATATTTAGTCGAGAGGATATTCTCCTGATTTAGCTTAATTCTGGGTGGCGTTTTACAAACTAGTAATTCATATTTATTTGGCTTTTTCAAAAGGCTTTTTTTTTTTTATCGTTTCACAAACTTTTTCTTGTATGGACATTTTCAAAACTCGTTCCTTAAGTCCTTAAGCTAAATCTAATCTAACCAACGATGAACGCTAAAACACGCTTTCCAATCCAGCATGGATGATTGGTGGGTACTGCACAGGTTTTGTGTAATCACAGTTCGCGGTGCTGTTCAAACAGTTAATTGGCGTCAAGGTTTTGTCGAAGCACAACTCCACGTAGCTTAACATCTGCTCAGAAGGCTAGAAGGATAAAACACAAAAAAGAAAGGCAGACACATGTTACAGGCTGAAATACACACTGTCTCAGTTCTTTTATAGATCCTGCCTCGTCTATAGACCCTTGGGATCACTTATACATGATAGTTTTCCTTACCATCACTCCCGCTAAGCGCTCTCTGGTTGGTCCCATCATCCCCTGGGCACGCTCGGCGCTTGGCGCTTCCTGCACGGCTGTGAAGCCGCCCTTCTACGAGTTCGCAATGAATCAAACATTTACAATAGATGAAAGATAATGGGTTGTTTTCTTACCTTAACAGGCAAGCAGTAAACTGTGGGGTGAACTTTAAAAACCTTGAACAGGGCAACTTCAATATCTTTCACCTTAGGGAAAAAAGAATACTTAATTACGAAAATTTAGCCACTCTTTTCAAGATGTCTCTTCTCCACTGATATTTTTTTTTCTGGAATCACAACAACAAAGAAATAGCTTCAGACAGATCTTTAGAGCAAACATGGATCTCCATGCTTTTCGCCTTCAGCTATTTACATATTCCTTTAGTGATTTTTTCCTGCTTCCCAGCGTGGAGTAACATGTCTTGCCTAGACGGCCAAGTGAAAGAAAACGTGTTGGAGATGACTTCTACTAGAAACGGGTAACGGAAAAGGGTAAGAACGTGGAACTGGTGCCAAGTTAAAGGGAAAATGAAGCAGTTGCTGCCAAAGATACCAAAAACAGAAAAACATATTACCGAGGTAAAGCGAGGGAAAAAAGTGACAGGAGTTAAGATAAAGTGTGTGCGGAAACGGGCAAACCTGACTGCCTGCACAAAACACGACAAAACGCAGACTCTCAGTTCAAACTGCGGCCTACTCACTTTCCTCAGATGAGGAAACTCTAATTCATTCTGGGATAGAAGAGCTGAAAAAAGGCCGCCTTGTGGAATGGATCAAGCGAAACCGGATACTTTTAGCGTATTACAGCGCACACTGCTTGAGAAAACACCCAAAGTTATAGATATACTAAGTGCAATTTCACCTCAATTTCCTTACCTGGTACACTTTGTCACTTGTCGGTGTAATTCTTCCTCCCTGATTTAGAGCTCTGCAGAAAAAAAAAAGCATAATTTGATTAAAGAGGACAAAAAAAGCAATGACAAAAATGTCAATAAAGCAACCAGCAAGTTTTAAAACAACCAAAAGTACTGTAGCTGGATCAAGTCTATCAAAATAATAATTATTTGCTTTCAGTTGAGCTCACTCCTTACTTGAAAATGTCATACTTGATATTCAGGGACAGGCTGACTTCGAAGTACTTGTGTTCAGAGTTCAAGAATGAAAGATTGGTTGCACACGTACCATGCTTATCCCATTCATGTTTCCTTAGTAAGAAGCAAGGATTAAAAAGGCTATGAAATAGACCTTCGTCTACACGTGAATAAATAGTTATTCACCAAAGTGGGGGTTAATATCCACCACTTACAAGACGCTGAAGTGAACAGCTGATTTATAACATGCCACAGAAGAACCAAAACTTAAGTTTATTTCTATCAACATACTGAAAAATGGTCAGAAATTAAACTCTTGAAAAGTGCTTTTGTTTCTTCAATAACAAAAAGGTGAAGAGTAATTGCTTATCATTCTGGGCTGTCTCTGAGGGCTGTAACACCAGTGGTTGAGCTCAGTTGATGTTACTAGTGAGGCTGCCAACTGTTGTCACGTTACACTTTGTCACCTATTACATTGCCAATACAGGTTTTATCTCCATAGTTACCGCAGTTTCAAATCTTAGTGAGTGCCCTGAATCATTTCCGAATTGGCCAGTTTGGGAAAATGAACACAATGCACATACACTCACCAAAATGCAGCATAGTCGTCTGGTGTTGAATAAGATGGCCACTGAAGCACCAACTCTGGTTTCAAATCCTGAAAAGAGATGCAACATACTCTTAGGCTGCCACAACCATCATTTCAAATCAAATCTTTTTAAACATGCAAGCAACTGACAGTTCTATTTGAATCAGTTGCAGGAACCTTTGGAAAGGGTTTGTATCAGGGGAAATGGGTAGGAAATATTTTACACTGCTAACAGTCACGGTTATTATTAAGGGAAAGCAGAGGGTGTAAANAAATGCACCAGTCAGAAGGAGCTATATCTTGTGAAAAGCTGTGCGAAAAATCCTGGCTACACCCTTATTCCCATACCTTGCTGTACCCCCTCCTGCACTTTTGACACCCATCACCTTCCTTTACATCATTGTCTTCTTCACATTTCTCCCCTAATTCCTATCCTCAGAAAGTGTGTCCTTGCAGACCTTTCCTCTCCCACCTTCTGCATCCTCTCCATCTCTTGTCCCCATCCAATTGATTGATAAGATGGTCAAGAAAAAAAAACATTGACAGATCTGCAGACACATGACAATACTTCTGATGATAACAATTGAAAAGATGACGAGAAAAAAGCTTTTGAGATGTTGTATTTTTGTACGCATTTACTATTGTAACTATAATATTCTAATTACGTTTGTCAAAGATTTAAAACATTAATTTGTACCACAAGCCATGGATGGTCCATTTAGAAATTCCTGAAGGCACGCAAGTCTTATTCTTTACATCCTTAAAAAAGGAACAAACAAAAACTCAAGTATACATGTAATCATCATGATAAAATCATGGTTTGACTAAATTCAAACATTATTGGGCGAAGTTTTTAAAAGAAGTTAATTTAAGAGGCCTTTTAAGTAATCTACATAGCAGGCATGTGATGTGGCTAGCAAGTTTTAAATATTCTAATTTATTGGTAATTTTAGTGAGTCAAATAGAGGACAGTCTAGGGAAAAGGTGAAGTGAGAATTACCCAACTGATCCCCACTGGGAAAGGGAGGTAAAAACGTCTTCCCAATCCCTTTCCCCTTAGTAATTTATAATATCAGTTATTTGCCCTGAGCTTTCCTAGATAGTCCATGGGGGGTGAGGAGCTGGACAAGGAGGTAAGGGGGTGGGGTAGGGGTCAATTATGATATAATTTTAACCCTAAGCATTCTAACCTCATAGCATTGTGTCTGTGGCCACCACTGCGTAAAAATGAACAAGTTGAAATCAACATCATCCTCATATTCTGGGCTGTTAATTAGAGTGAAAAGTAAATAAGAAGAAATTGAATGACCTTAGAAAGAATTATTTTAAAATTTTACATCTTAACAATAAGTATCTCGTGGGCACAGAAATATGCTTGCAATGGGTATTTAGCTATTAGAGGGAATGTTTGAAAGTTGGATTTAATCATTTACTTTTAGGGAATATCGCCAATAATCAAAACCATAATGTACAAGTTCTGTTGCCGAGCATTTGGCTAAGTTAACTGTTGTTTTACAATGTAATAATCAATGGCTGGTTTATTTCTTGAATCTTGCCATAGCTTTGATTAAATGGTAACAAGACTCAGACCACTGCTTCACATCCATCTGACTTTGTTAATCACCCAAGGCATATGATTACAGACCAAATTGAACTCCACTCAGTCCTATTACCATAACATATTCCCCAGCTCTAGCTGAATTATACTTAGTCATGTGACCCATTTGGACCAATGATAAACATGCAAAAACTATTTAATGAATAATAACACTCTAAATACATCCAACTAAATTTAAACTCTGCACAAACTCTAATGCTCTGGTCTAACATTTTCATTCAAAATTTTTGTCCAACGTCATGCTAGGAGAGCATGTTTGGCTCTTTTGGCTGCTACTGTTCACCTTGCATTTAAATGGTCCCACGATTGATCCAGATCAAACAATTGAACCCTTTCACTCCCATGAGCGATCAAGACAGAATTTCTCCTTACAATATCAGTACAATATCCAGTAGACAAGTGATGAGAATAAAGAAAAATACCAATTAGGGGATTATTGGTTGATCCAATACCAATTCTCCAAAGTAACCTCGAAAGAATTAATAGCAGACAGTAAGGAGAATTATGAGTGAGATCTTGGAAGTGAAAGGTTAATCTAACATTTGCTACAAAAGCAAATGTCTGATTGTTTAGCTGCTTAACCCTAAACACCCTCTCATCAGTTTGTATATTCTCCAAACTGCTTCTGATGCATTTCCTATGGTAATGACAAGGAGAATTTGTTTGACAATCACGAACTTCTTGGAATTGTGATCAATTTCCTCATTCTCGTAACCTTTATAATTTTAAATTCAGTTGTGATGTTACCAAAAGGACGTAAAGACAGCAGAGTGACAATAACTCTCAAAAAAGAAACAACAACTTTGAGTTTAAATTTACAAGACATGTTTCGACATTCTCATGTCATCTTCAGTTGCAAATGAGCATTTAACTGTTGTACATTTGAATTTAAATTAAGGTACGTTACAAACTACGTGTCAGGGCTTACGTTACATTTGAATGTTAAAAACGCGAAAGATGTAAATAGCGCGCGCTTGACTAGATCAAAAAATAAATAGATAAATAAAAAAAANGACTCTTGTGATACTGAATGTTTCACGATCTTAGATTCTGCCGCTTCAAAATACCAAATTAAGATCAAAGAGGCATTGCATATTAAGTGGGAAAAACCTATCCTTAATCAGCAATTGAAACATCTAGAATTGTCTCTTTCCTTTTAATTATGTTGTTCCTTGGTCTTTTAATTTATTTTTATTATTATTACATTTATTTATTTATTTTTTATTTATCTATTTATTTTTTGATCTAGTCAAGCGCGCGCTATTTACATCTTTCGCGTTTTTAACATTCAAATGTAACGTAAACCCTGACACGTAGTTTGTAACGTACCTTACTTTAAATTCAAATGTACAACAGTTAAATGCTCATTTGCAACTGAAGATGACATGAGAATGTCGAAACATGTCTTGTAAATTTAAACTCAAAGTTGTTGTTTCTTTTTTGAGAGCTGTGATGTTCTGAGGAGAAATTAGATTTCAGTCAGTCCTCTATTACTTTAAGAATTATAATGTATATAACAGGTACTTGAACGCAAGAGTGGGAGAAAGAAAAGTGAGGAATAAAAGGGAAAAAAAGCCAGGAATGACTAGTAAAGATGGAAGAAGAATTTTTATAACTTCCACATTAATTTAAATATCATGTTTACCTCCTGTTAACTGCCGCGGTGAACTACAGATTACGTTTCATCTTTGTGAGATCGAAATTCCACCTCGTTACGCTCAAAGGTCAAACAGCAGGTTGCTTTGCCAGTGGCCAAAGCACATTTAAAATTTTCCAATTAACAAACAATTATTGGTAAGCTTTTATTTACGGGCCCCGGGGTGATGTCAAAAGCTGTGGATATAAATAAGGAAAGCCTACCTGAATGTAAAGGGATCCACCTTCACCAAACCGAGAAAAACTAGAATCAAAGGCAAGACGGGACGCATATCTGCAAAAGACAACCAAGCGTAGATTAATTATGGACAATTTGCAACGACTATAACGCCCGTTACAAACTTAGATACGATACATGTGCACAAGTTGAAGACAAAGTCAGCCGACGAATAAAAGATTTCTCACCTTCCAGAGACCGAATAAAGCAGACTGAAGTGAAGTTAAAGATGATTCTGTCAGTGTGATATTTGACTCCCTCACGTGAGCGATCCAGCAAAAAAAAATGTCGAAAAAAATAGCACAATTTCCTCATGGAATATTTTGTTTACGAGTGACGACAATATGTAACCACGTGTTCAACTGTAAGGAAAGCCTGGGCACTAATGTACCGTTGTAGTTCATTTCAAGTCACAGCGAGGTTTTGCCAAAACGAAGTTTTGCTTATCTGCAAACATAATGGCACAAAACTTCGATTTTACAGAAGAGGAGATCAGGAGAAAACTAGAAGAACTCGGATATTCTCATATACCTCGAGACAAGCTGAAACAATTTCAAAGAGGTTCGTGTTAGATGAATAATCTTACAATTTTAGAGAAATTGTTCGAATGATGATGATTCTTTGATCATACAGCTTAGTTCATTTCTGACTCTGATAAATTTCTCTTCATAAATCATTGAGATTGTTTATTGGGAGTAATATGTCGTATTTTAAATAAAATTACATCTTGAAAAGCGTTTAGTTTCCGAAAGTGATCGAGGTCCTTCGATCGATGCAGTCACACTTGATGTTGAATTTAAATCTCGTCATCCTTTTGTACGTAGACTTAAAAGAGCTTATTGAATCAGAGAGATCAACATCCGAAGAAAGTGGTCTTCTTCGAAGCGAAGAATCCCCATCTGTTAGTGACAGTTACTACACTGACAGTTACTTAGAAAGAAGTAAAGATACAGAAATTTCTTCGTCTCTACATGATGGTAAGCACGGATCAATTTTAGATGTAGATATTACGAAGTAGACAACCCAGGAAATAATTTCTATCACTAAGTCTGCACTATTATTTCAAAATATTAACATAAAAAATCCCTACTCCAAAAGACATTGCCATAAAATCTATTCAACTGCTGTTCATCTTCTTGATCTCTGTTTAATCTCCTTGTTAGCTTTAGACAGCAGTACAGAACCTCACCGATTTGTTAATAGGCACAGATCCCCTTTGGAAGACTCAGTTTTCCCCAGACCAAAGTCAGCTCCAAGTTTGGCCAAGGTATTTTTGTCAAAGTGGCATGAATACATTTGTCAGATAACTTAATTATTTATTTATTATTTATTTTATGATGCTCTCAATCAGATAATTATGATATAGAGAGAGCTATTTGGCAAAAATCTTTCCTCATCAACATCATCATCATTATTTATCATCAGCACCTGAGGGAATGCACGAAGAGCAGTATGGATAATTTGCATACTGTTGTTAGGGTCTAAAGAGTTGTTAAATATGACTGAAAAAGAAACTTTTAATTGAATTGCCAGTCAAAGATAAATCATCAACCTTATGGCAAAGAAAATGTTCGTCACCATCTGGTGAAGGCACCAACAAGAGGGGAATCTACCTCCACTGCCGAGAGCTCCCCCCAAGAACAATCCAGACCCAGCAGTAGAAACATTAAGAGGAAAGTTTTGAGACGAAAGGATGGTGAACCAAGAGTCTTTGATGAATCTTTTACTACAAATGATTCTAGTAGGTTTGACAGATCATTATAAAAAGTCTTCCAAATTTTTGCATGTTGTCTTATAAATGTTTGTTTTGAAAAAGTTTATTTACTTTTTCCCAGTCACAGACATATCTGATTTAGAAGAGAGACTAAGAGACCTTCCCTTGAACAATGGTGACGTAGATGTAGCAGATGTTATCAGTATTGATAGTGAAGGATCAGAAGAACCCAACAACTTCAGACCATGGGAAAATTATGCTGAAAGAGGATTACCTTCCTGTAAGAATCACTGATATCTCCTTCACAGGCAAAAATTTAAACTACTTGTGTATGGTTGATTTTTTTTTTTTTCATGGGGGTGGGGGGGAGATGAGGGAATTTTGTGGGATGGGGAGAATCTATTAGCATTGTTCTTCTTCTGAATTCATAAAAAGGCTCTGTTTTGAAAAACATGTTTTGTGCATATTGTTCAATATTTCACACTCAGATAACAAAACTACGTATTTGAGAAGTTGTTCCTTAAAGCTTTTAATTACCAAAATCTCTTGTGATCCTTACTACATGTTATTTAACAAAATGACAACATTTTTTTGCTTTGCAGTCAGAACACTCTTCCTATTAACTTAAAGATCCTCCATTTATCTTCTTCGGTGAAGAGAAATAATCAATATTGTTGAGCTTAATATGTGTTTTTATTACACGACTCGGGCAGTCAGAGGGCCAATAACTAAAATCAACCAATCAAAATGCTCTATTGCGGGTCAATATTCTCTCAGTATTGGACTGGGCACTGTCCCAAATGGTCCCGAATGATACCGCACTTGTGTCCCTTTGAACTTCAGTCGTATAATAAATCTCTTATTAACCAAGCTTGCTCAGGATTGTACGGAAGAATATCGGCCCTCGGTCTTTTTTGTACGAACCTCGCTGCGCTCGGTCCGTACTGTCAAGAACTCGGGCCGATATTCTCCCAGTACCGCCCTCGCCCTTGGTTAATAAGATATATATCTTCAAAAGTAGGCTGGTGATCACATTACTAGTAAGAGAATGTTGGGTTTATAGCATAAATGACAGGCTCAGAAGAATACATTAATATTGCATGTTTCCATCAACCTTTTGAAAGTCACTACAAAATGTACTTGAAGAAGTCATGCACAACCAAAAGTAATCAGATAATTGTAACTGAAACTCAGAGTTCTCAGTGAGTTGTCCCTATTTAAGCTCAAAACCCACTAGGTTTCTGACCTCTTTTGCAGTTATCAGGCCATCCAATCGTCACCCTCACACACGGCAGTTAAAGAAGTCAGATCCTGTCTCAAGGTTTGAAAATTTTCCATTTCATTCAAAAGTCCATTTTACAGTTGCTTGTTTGGTTGCCAAGCCTTTGAACAGGAGTGAGGCTAAGGGCCGGTCACAGCTTGTTATCATGCTAACTAGATACTGGTCTCTATCATAACAAGGTCACCTTCAGCCTCACTCTGAATCAAAGGCTTGGCAACCAAGTACACAACTGAAAAATGTCCTAGTAGAGACTAGATGGTTTACCAAAATAGAAAGCTTTTAAATTCATTCACATGTTGACTCCTAAGATTCGGCCTTATTGTTGTTTTTGTTGTTGTTGTTCTTGTAGTAACTGTTGTTGGATGGTTTGTATGGTTTTTTGGTAAACTGCTGTATATATTGTGATGTATGCTACTTTATGGTGATGTAATTATAAATTTTCTTCTGTTTTTTTTGTTTTGTTTTGTCTTTTTTTTTAAAACAGATATCACCAATTTAGGTATGAATGGCAAGCAAACAAAGCCCCAGGAGAGAAGAGTCACAAAAATCTGCGATGGAATGTCAGGGTAACTTTAATATTCAATAAATTCATTTTTTTAAAAATAGTAGGACTGTTAATAAACCACCCCATGTGGTTACACCCTTGCTAAATACTCTACAATCAGATGTGATTGAGGGATATTCTGTATGCAGTGTCTTCCATTAACCATGATTCCCATAAGTGACCAAGACAGAATTTCTCCTTACAATATCAATACAATATCAAGCAGACAAATGGTGAGAATAAAGAAAAATATCAGTTTAGGATTAAAAGTTGATACAACACCAAATTCTCTTAACTAACATCATAAGAATTGCATGGCAGACAGTAAGAAGAATTCTTAATGAGATCATGAGAGTGAAGCTGTAAAGTAGAATGTAAAAAAAAAGAACTGTTCAAGTCAGAACACTAGGCAGATAACCACTATAATAGCAGTAATAGAACTGAAGAGTAGCTTCCCTAAGTGACTATGTTTGAGATGGCAATTGGCCGTTGGTGTGCTTGCCTGTCCTGAACTGTGATGCAATAGGCCTTTTGCAGCTGGGGTCACGTGATCAATTTTAGATATATATTATGGGATACAACTTGAAGAATACCAGAGATGCAAAGAGCATATTGAAAATACCTAAACGGCCAAGTTTGGGACCCGGGAATTACAGAGCACTGTGTTTACAGCGGTTTGAACTTTCGGAAAATTTAGACGATTTGTATGGAAAATGTTGCTGGAGAGCAAGGCCTTGCTCTCCAGCAACTTTTTCCATATAAACCTTCTTATTTATTAAAAAATTCAGAGTGTCATCAAATCTCATTTTTGAATAATGGAGGCCTCAAATTGGCCAGTTTGTTATTTTCAAAATGCTTTTTCCTTTTCTGAATGCGGCTAAGTTATAGCCCATAATTTCATGAAAAGTAGGTTATGTGATGGCTTAGCTGCAAAAGGCCTATTAGCTGTATATTCAATAGATAATCCTTAATGGAAATATTTGAGATATTCAGGCTTTCCTAAGTTTGATGAATTGCACTTAAATCTAATTGCCAGAAAGCCCATAAGGATACCTAGGTCTCTCCTGGTTTGCTAATTGTTTATTAAAATTCTTTCATCAAGGGCAAGATGTTGCAATGTGATGTGTTTGAGGTGAGCTAAAATAAATACATATTGATCAATAAAATTCTGGTAACATTGATTGCAAGAAAGTTGCTATGAAGTGATTAAGAAATATCACGAACCTCTTTGGGTGCTAAAATCAGAATTTGGGGATTCGAAGGTTTACAAGACTTAAGTGAATAGATAAATTTATTTGAGTCAATTTAGGCTTTGATAAGTAGAAAACATTGTTTAAGGTTCAGGGCCAGCTTTCAATGTATCAGATAACGAGCCAGGACTCTCAGGCAGAAACTAATGGTCAAAAAGCACCATAGATTGCAAAACCTTTAAAGATAATAATTTGGCAAGATTGAACCTTTTACAACAGGCTTATACAAACCAAGTATAAAATTTGCTCTGACAAAGCGCTAAGGCTCGAAAGGTCAGCTTTTATTATCGTAATGGTGGCCAATTTACCATTTCAACTTTGTTGATATATTCAAGTATAAAATTGTTTCCTTATTATTTTCAGAAACCACAACGTAATTTTGTTCCCAATAACTACGTTGTGCCAACAGAGAAGAAGAGACAAGCTTTAAGATGGGAAGTCAGGTCTAGTCTTGCAAGAGTGTGATGTGATCTGCTGCATTCTATAAAATTCTTTTAATTTGTTAAGAAATAACATGGACAACTACTGGAGGATTGGAATCATGAATAATTTTTTGCACTCATTCACTTATGAAAGGTGATTTACTAGCAGATGTTCACATGCACATCAAGGGTTTGTAATAAATAGCTTTATTTGAAACCAAGTTGTTATTGTTGTCTATGTTAGAGACCTGTTTTTCAATAGTTTCTTTTATTATTATCCTTTCAGTCCCTTGATCTTCTCTGGAATTCCCCCAACTGTCAGTCATACCATTCTTGGGACGTCAGTTCAGAGAAGTTGGTATTCAATCACCTGATAATTCCTTTGTTGATATATTTCTTTATTCTCGTCACTTATCTGCTTCACTTTATATGTTGTAAAGACAAATTCTGTCTGGGTTACTTGTGAGCGTTGAAGGGTTTACACATACAGTGGAACCTTGATTTAACAAAGTGCCACGGGACTGGGGCAATTGGTTTGTTATATTGAGGTGTTATGGCATACATTCCACTGTAACTTTAGCCAGGCTGAAACTGAGGTATTGTTCGTTATACCAAGGACTTCATTATGTAGAGATTCATTAAATTGAGGTTCCACTGTACCAGTTAGACTTGCAAGGTACATTCAAATAACTGGTAACCAATATTCAGAAGTTATTTTTGTTGTGTTTTATTACTTCTGCTTCAATGCTAACTTGACTACAAGCGTGGGGGTAAAGTTATTCAGTAACTGAGTCGAAAACTGAAAAAATCGCTCAGCTTATAGGTGAAGAAATACAGTACTTCCAACTCTTTTGAAATCTCTAGATAATAAGAAAGCAAGTGAGACTGAACTTCTCCAATATTTGAACTTGTTCCAAGACAAGAAAAATCCAAATGATTTGTCTGAATAGAATTGTTTATTTACTATTAAAATGGAATATTTACAAAGCAGGAGAAAAGCTACAAGAAAAGCTCACTCAAACTTGTTAACAAGTATCCTATCATCTTCACAAAGGATGTCTTCTAGAAACTCAACAGCTTTCAAGGACATCACAATATTTTTGCGATGTAATATTGTGTAGACATCCAGATCTAGAAAAAAAAAAGAACAAGTTCATTGTTAATAGCAGCACAATTCAAGTTGTAACAGAATAACTGTGAGACCAAAGGGATTGTATTTATAAACATACTTTTGGGATGACGCACATCCACAGTTTTCAACCCTTGCGCAGCTTCAGCGATTACCTCGTTAGGTGTGCTGTAGAGAGAAGAAAAAATAGTGTCTATAAATTAAAATTCAGATATAGTTCATAATGGTGAGCACTTTGTTTTTCTCATTAAACAAAGAACAAAACCACAAAGACAAAACTCAACTTGTGACTAGAAAAGGTTTTCCCAGATTAAGAGGTATTCTTTCAAAGAAGGCAACAAAAGCAGAGATTCTAGGATAGTTTTTTTTTTTTTTTCAATCTCTGGAATGGGGCTTTACGAAAGGAAGCAGTTTCACTTCAATGTCACTAAATTTTCTGAAAAAAAAAAATGATCATTCAATAATGAAAAGTTTCCAAACACTTACGAATCAACCAGGACTACATTTGTCCAGCCTCTTTTATCCAAGACTGGAATCAAATCCTGTAAATTTACATCAGCAAAGAATTAATACCTTATACCACCAATTGTTCAATGATGGATAGATAAAAGTTAAAATCTACACATTAAGTTAATGGGTTAGCATAATCAATACCTTACACCTTTTACTCCCATGAGTGACCAAAATAGACTTTCTCATTACAATATCAAGCAGACACATGAAGAGAATTTAGAAAAACCTCTATTAGGGGATTATAAGTTGATCCAAGAACAAATTCTCAACACTAACATCATAAGAAATGTGTGGTGGATAGTGAAGAGAATTCCTGACTAAGGAGACTTTGGGAGTGACGTGGTTTAATTTGTAACCAGACTTTTTATTTATTACGTTAAATTTTCTTTTTGATTCTTTATGAACTAGAAACCTACCCTATCATTTTCAATATCCTCAAATGAATCTACAATGTGTAAATGTCCCTGTTAAAATGGAAATAGGCAACATAGTCAAAAGGTACAATCAGGATTCAATTTGAAATAAAAACCAGGAACAACAACAAGCAAGCAGTACCTGTGCATATCTGACAGAGAGAGCGGTACGAAGACCCATTCTTCTGACTTTTTTTGGCAATCCATACTTATAGCTCTTTGGCACAGGACCGTGTACTCTACCACCTGAAAGAGGTCAAAAATCCCTTTCATGATCACGACTCTTTCCAAAGGAGAGCTTTCCACAGCTTGTCATAACACCAACATAATCACAATGGCCAGTAAGATTAACAAATGTAAATAGAATGAGAAAGATGGTAGATTTTGAGCTTGGTAACGCAATAGAGAAAGATGTTTTTTGTCCTGTCATCCTGAGCGTGGGAAAAGGGAAAACTTCTGAGTCCCCACAAGGAATTGCACCTCAGACCTTTGGATTCCGCACTCCAATGCTCTACCACTGACCCACAGAGACTCTATGGTGAGCAAGGCCCATTAGGAAGTTCATTTATGACACACATCCTACATACTGCTAGGATTTGGCAATGGTTAAAAAATATTTATATATATCAAAGGAAGATGCAAATTAAGATGTTAAAATTGAGCACAATCATTATCACCTTTTCTCCACTGTGGAGCTCTTATGCTGCCTTGCCGTGCTCTTCCAGTTCCTTTCTGTCTCCAGGGCTTTCTTCCACCACCTCTTCTTTCTGCACGGTTTTTGACTTTTGCAGTACCCTGGAAAATAAGAACCAGAGTACACTTAATATGTAAAATGTTCATTATGAAAAGTCTTTCCTTTATTTTTTTATAAATCTATCAGTTGTCTGCACATGCTCAAGTCTTGTACAATTGCTTGTAAAAAAAAACTAAACTATTGAATGATTTACCCATTGAGCTAACCGCCTCCCTGTTAGCTCAATGGATAGAGCACTGGACTGTTGTGTGGGAGGTCGAGGGTTCGAGCCCCGGCTGGACCAACACTCAGGGTCCTAAAATAATTGAGAAGAATTAGCTACCTCTCTATAACATTCAAGAAATGGTTAGATATTCTAGTCTTCTCGGATAGGGACAAATAAATGGAAGTCCTGTCTCCTGCAGGGTTGGGGTAGGAGACGTTAATTTCCCACACACGAGATTACTGTGTGATGGATGTCCTCCCCTGGGGTGGGATGGGTGGGTTGTTTAGGAGTCTCATTACTGGAACATTAGTTCTGTGAGATCCCTCCTGCAAAATCTGGTGAATTTATAAATAAAATATATAAAAAACCGTTTTTTCCGTAATGAGTTATTGTGAAAATAGGACTAATTTGAACTCAACCCTTAAATTTAACGCTTTAAGTCAATTCAATAAGTTACAAGAATCTGGTGCTACATCAGGATAACAACTTCTGCCTGATAAGTTTCAGTTTTCTCATAACCTGTTTTCTAGATAGTATGTGGATATTACAGGGAGAAGTTACATATTTATCACTTCAGGGAATTTAAGGGTGAAAAGGCAATATTTCCTCCGCCGACCACTCCTATGTAGACTGTTGAGGTAGGGCAACATTTCTAGCAACTTACAGCTCTGTTTTTTGCTCTCCACCAAACAACAACTCTGTGTAAAATGTCAATCCTAGAAAAGAATAAACAAGGAAAAATCAAATGAGAATTCCATTGCAAAGAATGAATTTGCAGCTAATTTTTCTCCCCCTAAAGAAGCTTGAACAATTATCACTTCTTTGACCAAAGATCTAGTCACTGTGATAATAAAAAAGAACAAGTAGCCTTGTTTGACATTTTCAATATCATCATTTAAAAAAGTAAACTTCAGGACTTAGGCAAGTGGGATTTCCTATTCTCATTGACAAGGAGTCACGAGTTACAAAAGATCTATCCACACCAAACTCCCTTTTGTCAGATGTAATCTTTAAAACTTCTGATAGCTGGAAAAATCACAGATTTAAGTTGGATCAGCAATTTATCCAACACAGGAATTTCCCATTTGTAGCATACTTTGTGGGCAAAAAATAGAAATAACTAAAATACTGAATCATACTTGAAATGTTTGAAGACAGCTGAGTGAAAAACATTAAATATACCTAGGGTTTGCTCCAAAGACAAATTCATTTAACTCCACTAATCCCAGAGGATTCTCAAAAGAGAATGAAGTCACCCAAGCAAGTATCCCTGAGTCGTGGTTTTCATAGTCTCTTGTTGCAATAAACTTGCAAACGCTTGAACTGAAGTCACCTGTACAAACACAAAAAAATCAGCAAAGAGTAAAATTCAGTTCCTCTTTGTTATAACCCAAGGCTACACATTGTAGAAGTTATGAAATCAATGCAAACACAGAAACATGAATTTAAGAAGTGGCAAAGGATGACATACCAATGTAAACATCATGAACATTTGTGTGCATTGTCTAAATAGTTTTGGGTGTCCAGTGTGAGCCAATAGTCCTAACTCATTGTATATAGCCCCCAGGTTTGCTACTGTTTTGTAAGTGGGAGATTTAGCCAATTACAACTGTCACACAATTTCAGAGTCAAACATCTCCTCAAAACATATTTACTTCTACATCAGAAAAAATGTATGGTGAAATTCCACAATGGTCACTCCTGGAGGTGAGAAAGCTAGATCATCTTCCGACATTTAAACTGCAACAAACATGTATGTGTGCATGTATGGAATCCATTCATACCATAGCAAGGTAGGTCTTCTATATCCAATGGCTTTGGCTTTGGTGGAGGTGCAAGAGCTTTGCCACAATGATACCAGCGAGCTGATGGTGACTAGAAAGTATTGTATTCATTTTAAAACTGACACACATAACAGCACAACCTATCTTGAGGCACCTAATATTTACATAGCAATATTCAAAAGGAAAAGAAAATGTTTCATTCTGTTTCCTGAAGAGCATTTTGAAAGTTATGGGCTTCTGATCACAAAGACATACTGTACTTGTAATATTTTCAGTGTTTTCTGTAGATTTTGGTGACTTCTTAACTGTCATCTGCTTTTCTAGAGCAAGGTACCATCATCCTGATTAAATGTTTGAGCATGAAACTACAACTAGATGACATGGGTAAATTTTACGAGCCCCCTTCCACCATTTTTAGTATTACAGTGTACCTATCATGGGTTTGTCGAGGAATGAAGGGAGCAGGCTACCCACAGGATATCAGGGGTGTGGTCTAGCAGCACCTGGTGGCCCCAGGTGCCTTAGTTTTGTTCTTGGGTGACTCAGGAATCTTAGTTATTTCATAAAAAGCATATGCTGGGCACCCTGGATTTCAGAGTTTCAGAGCACTGGGCTCCCTTTAATTTTTCTTAGAGCATAGTTTTGTATATTGTCTGAGAGGACCCCCTCAGAGGAAAGCTTCAGGGTTGGAAATTTTACCTGGCCACCATTTTGAAAATGCAGGTGAAACTGGAATGAGAGTCATCTGCCATCTTGGAAGAATTTTGACATGTAATGGACATCCAAGGGTGGGGAAATTGACTTTTCAAAACTTGAAAAGGTCAAAATCCTCCAGCAAACCCTTGATAGGTGCATAGAGTGACTATTAGGATTACTCCACTACCTCAATTAGTTGCTGGTCCATCACTGGAAGCTTATCCCTAATTAGTACACACATGTACCGTCTATCACTCAGTCCTTATCAGCTACTTGCATTAACTTAAAAATGGAAAGCAGTCTACATGACATCACCATCAACAATTTTTTGCTTCTTCAATATGTAACAAAAAAATAGATTCCCTGTTGCCATGCATTAATAATCACAGATGACAACAAAATCACAGATGATATCTAACTGTGGCAAGAACAGAAATGTGGCTGGTACAAGAGGCACAGCCAGGTGTGTCACTGATGTGTCAATAATATAGAAGAGAAAAAACATTGTTAATAGTGAAGTCGTGTATATGCGTCTTCCCTTCAATAGACCATAAGTAATAACCAATCAAATGTGTGCGTAATTCAGCTGATTTTACAAAATGTACTGAAAACCACTTTGAAATCTTAATTCAGGTCAAAATGCTATCAAATATAACCTGAATTGGTTCTGTCCTCGTGTACCGGTTCACAAGAGCCGATACAAAAGACCAAACAATACACAACAGCTAACCAATAACTCCTAAACAAAGAAAGAACAATGGTAATTCCCTTGTGAACCGGTACACCAGGACAGAACCCCTGAATTTAATTTTTTTACTGACCTGATGCGCTGGTAACATACTTGTCAAGCGAGGTTTGATGAATGAGCGAAGTCCCACGAGTGACTGACACCGTAGTAAACGGCTAGTCAACGCCATTCTGACTACGAGATTAATTCACAGTTTCAAAAAATATCACCCTCAGGTGAACCATTCGGCAAAACATCTACTTCAGCAAATTAAATGACTACTCATCCGCCATGGTGGATTTTCTCAAGTCATGTGTTCGGAGATTCTATAACTTGAATTACACGAGTTAGTACTCATAAGCAGGGAATCCGCTGTCTAAAGATAATGTCGTAATAAAACATGGCGGTTCTTTAACGCTTCTCTCCGCACCTCATAGAGAAATGTTTACAGTTAGTTTTAGGCTATCTTCTGGGAGAGATTGTTTCCTTCTGGACTAGTTCTTGTTTTATATTCGTTACTTTCGAGGAAATGTCCGCTCAAAAACTAGAAATTACTTGGATCATCAAAAAATCAGGTTTTCGATTGAAGTTATGTTGGATCCGTTCACTGGCAGTGATTTAAACAAGAATGCAGAAACCAGTAGCCGTCAATTTGGACGATAAAGAAATATCTGGAATTCAAAATGATCCTGTTGTACATGAGCTATTTGAAGACGCCATTGAAGTTCTGCGTCTTGTAGGGGCCGATGGGAAATTCACTGGTGAGCAGGGTACTTCCTGGTCGAAATCTGATTAATGTCTCATTCAGTCAGTCTTTTAGACATGCACAGTGAATCAGTTGGGCTTTTATTCTGACCGTCAGTCAATCAGTCAGCCAGTCCATCAACTAGCCAGTCCATCAGTCAGCCAGCTATCAGTCAGCCAGTCCATCAGACAGCCAGTCCATTAGTCAGCCAGTCCATTAGTCAGCCAGTCCATTAATCAGCCAGTCCATCAGTCAGCCAGCTATCAGTCAGCCAGTCCATCAGACAGCCAGTCCATTAGTCAGCCAGTCCATTAGTCAGCCAGTCCATCAGTCAACCAGCTATCAGTCAGCCAGTCCATCAGTCAGCCAGCTATCAGTCAGCCAGTCCATTGGTCAGCCAGTCCATTGGTCAGCCAGTCAGTCAGCCAGCCAGTCAGTCAGTCAATCAGTCAGTCAGTCAGTCAGTTTTGTTATGGTGTTAAAGAATTGAATCAGCTAGGTGTTAATGAAGCAAGTTTCCACATGAAGTTATGTAATTCCCAGATTGGATATAAGAGGTATATGCAGTATGCATTCCTGTTTTGAATGGTAGGTTTTTTCTTTTGAGTGACATTAAAATTTCTTTCAGTTGGCTGTTTTAATCCACAAGTGATTTCTTTGCATACAGACACAACAAGTTTATCAATCAGTGAGGCCATTTGTCTATCAGTCAGCTGGTAAGCTCAGTCAACCAGTTAATCAGTCAGTGAGTCAGTAATTAGATCAATACTATCTTGTGACTGCTATGTTTTGTTTCTGTTAAATTAGTTAAGAGTCCAAGCTCAGGAAAGTGTCACCAAAGCACTCAACAAGGCAAGGGGAAGAATCAACCACACTCGAGTCGTAGAAAACCTGTAAAGAAACTGGCAGAAATAACAAAAGCAAAGAGAAGGAAACTGGAGAGAATAAAGGCTCCAGTGACAATCTTAAGAAAAACAAAGCAACTTGAAAACAAAGGTCAGTTAATGTTTTCAGAGTTTCTGGGAAGGACTTCTGGAGAATGTGTCCCATTTTTTAAAAGACTTAGGATTGGTTTTTGGTAAAGAAATACCATTTTATCTCTTCTCAAAATGAATATTCAGGGCGTGTTTTTTTAAAAAGACCTCTGCGAAAGGATTTTTACTCTACATCCCCTTACCCTCCCTGGATCTCTTGTTATCCCAGAATGCAACCTCTGTAGTTCATTGATTTCAAGGCTGTGCTCTAAGAAAAATTGAAGGGAGCCCAGCGCTCTAAAACTGAGAAATCCAGGGTGCCCAGCATATGCTTTTTATGAAAAACTTAAGATTCCTGAGTCACCCAAGAGCAAAAGTAAGGCACCAGGAGCCACTGGGCACTGCTAGACCACAGCCCTGGATTTTCATTGCTGTGCCTTGTAACTGTCATGGCAGGAATAAAACATGATCCTTGTGAAATCATTCAATTATGTTTTATAATTGTTTGGGGAAGGGAAGTCCTGATTTTTGTTGGTGACAGTTAATTAGATTTTGGTATTCTTAGTCTAATTCATCATCAGAGGTAGAGAAAGGAATGTTTCTTGGCTGTATGTTTTGACTTTTGTTCTTGAAACTGTGTGGTTGTTGTTGTTGTTTTTTTTTTTCTTTTTTCTTATGTGTGATGAGAAGACAAACAACTCTTTACTTGACTCTGGTGTTGCCTTCCCAAAGGTTGTCAGAATGTCAGTCTTTCTCACCAACAACAATCTGTTTTAGTACGAACAGTGGAATCACATGATTCTATCAACTACTAGTCCTGGTTTCAAGTCTTTTACTTTCTAGGATTAATATCATACAGATTTAATAATTCAATGAATTTTGAATCTATGAAAATCATATATGTGTATGAAAGAGATCCTCACTTTCTATAGCTTTAACAATGTTTTTTAATGATTAATATGATGATCATCCTGTTCACCTTTAAAGTGTCATCAGAAGAGCAAGAGATTTCTGTCCAAAAGATGTTGAGTTATGCAAACCAGATGCCACCTCAAGAAAATTTCCAACCTCTACCCCTTCCCCTTGTATCATTTGGATTGGATGGAATGAATGTAAAGTACCATGACAACAATGCCATTCTGAAGATCATACATTTTGAACTAATTTTAAATTATAGTAAAGGCTGATAGTTTCTAAACTAAGTTTAGTTTCTAAACTCTGATAGTTTCTAAACTAAGAAACTGGGGCTGCATCGGTGGGGGTAATGAAATAATTTGAATATATCAACAAAGTTGAAATGGTAAATTGGCCACCGTTACAATTATAAAAGCTGACGTTTTGAGCGTTAGCCCTTCGTCAGAGCAAATAGAGGAATTGTGGATTGTGTGTGCTTTTAAAGGCAGAAAATGGAGCTACGTTATTGGTAGGAACATGGCAACGAGAAAAACACAAATAAATTAGTGGAATGAAAAGCGTTCGTTGATACCTATTTGCTCAGATGAAGGGCTAACGCTCAAAACGTCAGCTTTAATTTATAATCGTAATGGTGGCCAATTTACCATTTCAACTTTGTTGATATATTCGAATTAATTTTAAATAGTGTTGGCTGTTTGATAATATCACTAGTGAGAATAACACTTGCAATTGTGAGGTAACATGGTAATCTGCACATTGTACGTATCATAGCTTGCAGTCTGAGGTAATTTCAAAGAAAGTTCTGAACCATTACCAGTGTGTGGGAGTAGTTCAAAGGAATAACCCTTAACCTCTTGGAGGGACTAGCATCTAATTTCTCCTTACAATATCACCCCTGAAGCACACATTAAGGTCATGAGAATATAGGAAATGATCACCAACTTAAGAGGCTCTCGATTGTTAAACAATTTTCTTTGTCGGCACCTTAGGAAATGTGTAGAGAACTGTGGGGAGAATTTGCATACTGATGTTAAAAGGTTAAATGTGTGGGATCATACAACTGAAATGAGCACCTTGTTGATATTGCACTTGTAAACCCATCTTGGCTCTTGCATAGTATATTACTGTCAATCATTTGTCATGAATGTCTGGGTGGGGGTTATCAGTGACATTGCCCAACACTCTGACAATCTGAGCAGAAGTCATCGGTAGACTTAACCCTTTACACTACGACGTCAGTCTGCATATTCTCCATACTGTTCTCTATATACATGTCCCAAGGTGCTGACAAAGAGAATTTGTGTAACAATCAAGAGCTTCTTCAGCTGGTGATCATTTCCTTTATTCTCATGACCTCAATGTAAGGAGAAATTGGATGCTAGTCACTCTTAGGGATTAGAGGGTCAACTGGAGTTCAAATGTCAAAGTGCACAAGCTACATGATTGCCATTTATCCACACTTCAAATTTGTATTGTGTATAGTACATAAGAGTTAAATAATTATTTAACAGTCCCTCGCTGCATCTTTAAGCTGATAATGAATGGTGCCAAGTGACAATCCTCTTTTTTCGCCCGGTTTTTTTTCTGTATTCTTTTCCTTCTTTCCTTTTAATAGGAAGATGGGAGTGTCATCTCTAATAATCCAATTTTCACAGAGGGTATCACTCAAGACTACACATATTTATCCAATGAAAAGGATGTTGCCCTGTGGAAGACATTGATGGCCTCCCCTAACAACTGTAATATTTTTGTGGGAGGCCTGCACCATGGTGTCACAACAGAAGCTCTGCACGCTTCTTTTGAGGCATTCTGTTTGCAAGAAGAAGATGAAAAGCAGATGAAGGTAGAGGTGTTGGGAAAAATTGTGTATATTATAATTTAAGCTTAATGTTAAACACCTCTCCGAGTTTCACAGATAGCAGAGCTTCAAAGCCACTCCCTGTGTTTAAGGTATCTTTTAATGGTTTCTTTCTTCACCATAAAGGAAGTGTATAAGAATCAAATGAAATCGTTATCTTCAAGAAGAGTACGACATTTTTTAATTTATAAGACGTGTTTCGATGTTACGAACATCCTCGTCAGTTACAGACTATTTGAAAAACCGTTAGGGCTATTTAACAACTAGGCGAAACATGCATAATTAATTGTGATTAAGTGACAAAAATACATATTAGAGTGAGTAAAGTGTTGGAAAGAATATAAAGCCTAAAGCGTAAGCGTCATGTTGACGTGATGAACTTGTTGGTTTAAATTAGGCTTTTCCCAGTTTATGTGCATAGCCTCCTTAAGTTTAAGTTGAAATTTAGTAGGGGCGGAATCAAGGATTTCAAAACAATCCGCAGAGCAAGATGACGACAAATTTCTGAGTTTTTTAAATGTTTGAAGATATGTGAAGACTTGTCTGAAGAGAGATGTTCACGGACGCGTGT